GTCATTTATGTAGATAAGGAATAAGTGGGGCCTAGGATGGAGCCTTGAGGAACACCTGCGTTCGTGGGATAGGAACTGGAGGAGAATCCGTTGAGAATGTCCTTCAATTCACGGTTTGACAGGAATGATTGTATTAGGTCAAACAATTACCTGAAAATTTGCCATATATTGATATTCTTAACCGGAAGGCCAATATTTTGAAACCCTATCAAATTTTTGGAGATGTCTGGAGCCATGGCACAAGCTTTAATAAGACTATTGAACATCTCTCTGTCATAACAACACTTTCAATACCCTTACAAAATGTGTTTAAATCCTTTTTCTTTTCACCATATTTCTTTGTTCTTTATATAGCAGGACAGAAACCATTCTATTGTTTATTTTTGATAATTTAAGATTTTGAAAGAATACAATATTGATGGCAAAAAAAAAATTATTTTTTTTTATAAATTGTATTTTATAATTTATAAGGTATATGTTTTAATTGAGGCTTCGAAAAGTGTAGATGCCCTGCAGCAGTATTTAATACCTTACTATAATTAATTTTAAACATGCTTTTTCTTGGTCGGTTTCTTAAAATGATCTGCTTGAATAAATTAAATGTTTTTGGTTATGGGAGAATCCAAAATATATATATAATATATAAAAATTTATATATAAATAATTTATAAAAAATTGGAACCCTTTTTTAAAGTTTATGAAAAGATAATAAACATTTTTTTTGGAAAAAAAAATTTTCAATTTAAATGATTAAACCTGCATTTGACAAGATTATATTTGGATAACTTAAATATCTATATATTATATATAAATGAAAACTATATTATTATATAAAAATTAATATCTTGCAAATTTTTTTTTTTGGGCCTTCAAATGGATAATTTTTAAAGGTCAAAATTTTTATTATTTTTTTTATTTATTTATATTTAATTGTAATTTATTGGAAAATCAAAATATTTTTAACCTTCTAAATAAACGCTGCAATGATTTTAGCTTTTTGAAAAAAACAATCTGAATTTTTTTTGTTTTTTAATTTCTGGTTTTTAACCATATTTAATAAACTTTAAGAACTCAAAATTTATTTTATAAAACATTTATAATTGATAATCAAAATATTTAAGCTTAAAAAAATTAATTCAAAATTTTTATTATTTGCTCTTAAAACCGCTTTTATTTAAATTTAATAATGAAACTATTTTCCTTAATTTCATGTAAAAAGTGATTTTTTTCACTTATCATTTATTCACTGAAATATCAACTATTCATGGATTTATTTAAATATATAATTTCGATTATTAAAAATTTAAAAAAATGTTTAAAAAATTGACTGTTATCGTTCAATAATTTGAAAAGTGTCAAAAATTTAGGTTCAAAATCGCAAAAAAAAAAAATATAAAAAGATCAAAATTGTCACTGAAAACAATGAAATATATAATGAATTTTATAAATACAAATTTCTAATTATTATACCAACTCTTTATTTTAAACTGGATTTGTCTTTTAATTTGCTTTGTTACAGAGTAACTCATGATTGTGGATTTTGGATATGTTGGAGATAGGCCTGTATTTGTATTCATTCAATTATGAAAATTAAAAACAGTGAATTTGTATTTTATTACTATATCTGATTCCATTATCAAGAATATTGTTGAAATTTAGTTCTTCAAAATAATGGCATTATTAAATGTAACTTTAAAATTCCTTTTGGAGATTTACTTTTTATTCTTTTAAATTTTAAATTTTAAGAATACAAATTTTAGTCCTTTTTTTAGAGTTAAGTTTTTCATCATGTGTAATTTTATAGTCCCCTAAGATCCATAAGTTGAAGAACCATTTCAAAAAGAAGTAGAAAACAATAATTTTTTTTTTAAAATTTTTCCAAAAAAAGTTGAAAATATTTAAAATTTCAAAAATTTAAATTTTGAATTCCCTTGAACAGGATGGAATGAATGTTATGAAAAGTTCCAAAGCTGACTAAAAAAATAAAATTTTTGTGATAAACATTAAAACTTACCGTTTCATCTAAATAAATGTTTAATACATCATAAAATTTGAAATTATAATGGAAATAAATTATTTTCTTAAATTTGAGGAATGGTATAATAAACTTAAAAAACTGTTAAACAGACGTCATCATGAAAGTATTTATGGAAACCAAAACAAAAATATTTTAAGACGGTGTTTAAAATAACTAAAATCCTTTATTTTTTGCCTGAAGAAAAAAAAAAAAATTAAGCATGAAAAATTTTTTTAGAATTGAGAATCAAAAAAAAAAATAAAATAAATGCCAAACCAGATATGAATTAACAAAAAAAAAGAATAAATGATGGACATAAAAATACAAATTTTTTTATTTATATATATTTTGTCAAAGTTCATATATTGAATTTTACAAGTCCTATTAAACAAATTAGAAAAAAATTGAGCAACATTATCAAAATTAGAATTAATTTATAGTAAATTTTCCTAATTATTATAACGATTTTTTCTTTTTTTTTAAATTCAAATTTTAATTATTCTTCTTAATTTTTCATGTTTTCTAATTATTTTTTATAAAAAAAAAATAATCTAGGTGGAAAAAATATTATCAACAAAAACCATTTAAAAATTCATATAAATGGATTTGGCAAAAATTTTAAAGTAAAATTGTATTTTCCAAAAAACAAAAAAAAAATAAACAATTGTCTAAATCATAAAAAAAAATTTTAAATGATAAAATTGGAAATGATTTTTTCAGGTTAGAAACTCCCTAATAAATATTTATTTCAATGTCATTGGTAAAAAAATAAATCAAAATTTCTTTATCATTGTTAGCGTTTTCAATGTTTTTAGCAAAAATTTATATTTTATATTTTGACTCTCAATTTATTTTCCTTAAAGTTTTATTTTCAATAATTTTGGAAGCATTTTAGAACGATTTCGATATTATTACAAACAATTTTGAAGTCTAAATGATCATTTGAAAAGTTTTTTAAATTATGATAAGAAAAAGTGGTTTACGTTGTTTTCATCCTAATACAGTTCATTTGGGACAGAAAAAACAAATGAAAAAGGTCATTGAGTTTAAAAATTTCCACGAGAAAAATCAAATTTTCCTAAAAAAACATGATCGATAAATAAAAAAATTTTTTTTTACAGATATTTTAAAATTTTTTTATTTAATTATTTTACGTGAATTTTAAATTTTAATTTCATACAAATTATCTTATAATTTGAATTTTTTACATGAAATAAACTACATGCAAAAATGACTCTGATAAAAAACTTTTAAATGTATTGTTCTTTTCTGTTCAATTTATAAAGTATTTGGATTTGCACCAGTTAGGAATGTTTTAAAAACTGGCAAGTCACAAACTAAATAAATATTGGAAGTTAAAATACATTTCTGATAATTGAAATATAAAATAATGAATTTTCAAATAAAAAAAAAAATAAAAAAAAATTTTCTTTTTTTAATATAAAAATATAAATATTTTAAAAAAAAAATAAAAATTAGCAAATTTATTTAAAGGGGGGATTTTTTGAAAAAAATATTAGCAGCAAAATGATTTTTTATTTTAATAATAAAAAATATTTTTTACATTCTTTAAAATAATAAAATTTGAT